TAAAAGAAGTTGCCCTGGCCAGATAAATAAGCAAATATTGTTAACAATTAAAATGACGCTTAAATAAAAGTCTTCGCCTGGCGCCGAAAAACAAATAATGACGGTGCCAGGCAGACCTCTCTGGGGAGCGCATTCCATAGATTGGGCGCCACCACAGAGAAAGCCCTCCTCTGAGTACCTACCCTCCTAATTTCTTTCACGGAGGGTTCCCGGAGAAGGGCCTCTCCCGCAGATCTCAAGGGGCGGCCGGGCATATATGGATGTAAGCGCTAACTGTGGTTAGCAAACCAGGGTGGGGAGTAAAATCGAAGGAAAGAATCCATGCTCTTGAAAGCGGTTGCGACAGTCCCTGGCATAAATGGGCGATTCCTTCCGTTACTTGAGCAAAGCTTTGAGACAGGCAATGGCTTTGAAACACCCGTCTCAAACCTTCTCTCTCCTGCCCTAAGAATCGAATGGAGCGTAAAGCGATCTTCAGGGTAAGGACCATTAAGCAAACGCAATCTCTCAGCTGCCAGTGGTCATCCCTGGAGATCTCTCCCAGTACCTGAAATGCTCCCAAAGACGTGCACATGTCTTTAGGTGGATTCCCTGCTGCGCAGGGCCCTTCCTCTTTCTACCTGAGACCAGCCATCTGCAGCTGGCTGGTGGAGCCAGGTTCCCATCAGCCCCAGCTCCTCCTAATGCTGACCAGAAATGTCTGATTGTCTCCCTGCTTGACCAGGAAGGTTTTTTAAATTTCCACAATAACCTTTGGATCATCTGGTCTCCAGGGAAAGGCTGTAACCTGGAGCAGAAGCAGGACTGGGATGGAATTCCCTGATACCTATGGAATGCGCTCCCCAGAGAGGTCCTCCTGGCGCTGTCATTATTTGTTTTTCGGCGCCAGGCTAAGACCTTTTTATTTAAAACTTATTTTAATTGCTAAATTATTGTATTTATTAGGATTTTAAATTAGCCGAGAATGCACTGGGGGTTTTAAATGTTTTTTTTCTTTTAAATTGTTATATTGTTATTGTTTATGTATGTTTTTTTGTATTTTTTGTGAGGATGCGGCAGCTGAATGATGGAGGGGCTGGGAGGGCGGGGGGCAGGCAGGTGCCGAAGCAGGCAGATCTGGGGTGGACAGCGTGTGGCGATTCAGGTGTGTTTGCCTGCGCCTCCCATCAGCGATAGCTAGCCTTGTCCATCGAGGGGGGTTGTAGGAATGGCAGGCCAAAACTTCTGGGGGACCGCCGCTTCTCTACTCCTGCTTTAAGAGGAGGCCAGCAGAAATCCATGCGGGCTGAGGGAGATCCGTGCCGGCGGATGCAGCACAAGTGTTGGATCCAGCCCTCGGCAGCTCCTGTGCGCTCCCGTTTGGCAGGCATCGCTTCCCACTCGTATTGGTCCCAGCAGTCGGCCTCACCCCGAATCTGCCGGCCACAGTGCAGCACGTACGGCCACATGAGTGGCTTGTGCTTCTTGCAAGGGGCCGCGTGGGAAGGATCCGTGCCATTTCCCTGGGCTAAAGGAGCATTGCTCCTCTGCGCTTCCCCGTCTCCCTCCCTCTTGCTCTGAAGCTTCGTCTCCTGACGCAGCAGCTGTTCTGGCTGGCTTCCCCGGCATTTCAGTTCCTTGTAACAATGGCTCGCCATCCAGTGGACGTTGGAAGCCCTGCGATGGTGAGGGAGTTGTCTCGTCCAGCGTCTAGTGGCTGGCCAAATGCTTCCAGGGTATTTACAAGCAGGGCATGTGGTCACCAAGCATCCCTTGCTCTCGAAATCAAATCTTCCATGTTTGAGGGTGCATTGCTGCAGACCGCCCCCCCACCCCGAGGCTAAGAAGTCTGTCGGCCCCTGGCTGAATGTATCAGGTCCCCCTTAGAGACTTCTGAATCATTAGCTCCTTCTCCATCTTGCTCAGGGCTGACACAGGGTAGATCTGGTCAGGCAGCTGCTAAGGGTCCACCTGCCAGCCGGGGCCACTGATGAGAACGCCCTGGCGTTGCTCCGCCTCTCCCCATTGCACCTGCCCCCCACCTGCCCCTCGCTGGGCCCTGGACAGTAGTGGTGCCGAGAAAGGGGAACGGGAGATGCCGGTGTCTACCTGTTCCCCAGTTCTCCGCTGGTCCAGCGAGCAAGCAGGCGTCAGTGGTGATGGGAGGGCGTAGCTCTGCAGACGCAGGCGCTTGGCAGTGAGCAGCTCACCCTAAACAGAGCACTGGAAGGACGGATTTCCTTCGTGTTTATCCTCAGTCTCCACAGCTGGGGGTTGGAGGAGAGGAAGCAGCCCCCCAGCCGCACCCCTCGCAATGTATGAAATGGATCTTCCCACCCTGCTTTCTGTCTTGCGTCCACTCGGAGGACTCCGGTGTGTTGAGCTTGGCTGCGTTCCCGTCTGCAGTGGTGTCTTCCACGGCCACTTCCATTTCTGCAAAGCCATTCTTGAATGGGTGACCAGACCTATACATGTGATGCAAAATATGACCACAGCATTTTACTTTCAGTGTAAAAGCTATTCAGGCCTGCAGGAAGCTGCCATATTCTGAGTTAGGCCCTTAGTCCATCCAACCCAATATTGTTTAGGACCTGAATATCTGGAGGAATGTCTCCATCCGTTTGAGCCTAGCTGGACTCTCAGATTGTCATCAGAGCTCTGGGAGCTGTTTCTAAAGGAAACTAGGAGGTTGGCTACCCGAGGCAGGGCCTTCTCAGTCATGGCCCCCGTTTATGGAGCTGGCTTTCCAGATGTCCACCAAGCACCTGCTTTATATACATTCTGGCATCAGGTCAAGACATTTTTATTTAAAGAGCATTTTAATTGCTGATTGTTTTAGGTTGAACGTTTTTAATTCTATTGCTATTTTAAGTAGTAAATTTGGTACTTTTAATTGTGATTTTTAAGATGTTTTTGCATCAGTTATGTTAATTATTACTTGGTGTCTCTGCTGTGATGGGGCAGTTACATTGTTTTATTATTTGATTGTTCTGATGTTGCAACTGTTTTATTTTTGTAGTTTCATGTTTGTTATGGTTTTATCGTGTAAATCATTGTGGGAGTAGAGAAGTGTTTTCTCCGCTCTGTGGAGCAACTTCTGCCGGCTTGTTTGTTCCTGTGCAGTGAGGAGATCATTTCCCACTTGGCATTCATATTCTGCTTGTTCTCTGTAATGTGCTTTTTATGGAGTGAAGGACTGAGCGGTGGCACATCTGACATTTTCCTGCGATGCCAAGAGGTGAAATACACCTACAGAAGTGATAAAACTGGGGCAGGCAATTTCATACCCAAGTCATGTGCCAACAACCTGGAAGAGCAGTTCCTGCCACGTTCAGGGTTTGCCCGTGGTTTGTCTGCCACGGGATGGGCAGCTTGGCTTCCTCCAGTGTCTGTCCACTTCCGCCGTGTATCCCAAAGGGCTTCGTGGTGCCATGAAGCTTGGCCACTGGCTGCAGATGGTTTTCTGTCTTGCACTTGCTCGCCCTCTCCTCAGTAGCCTGGTAAGGGCCCGTCATTCTGGGTTTTCATGTCATGGCAGTCCAGAGTTCAAGCAACCCAGAGTTCCCATCCCAACAGCAAACTGTGGCTTCTCTCTTCCTGGGTTATGGTTGAAAACCCGCCATTAGCCTGTAGTTCTGACTTGGCCTGTAAAGGCAACATTGAAGGCAGAGGAAGGTGCTCAATGAGCTGGACGGATTCAAGCAAGGCAGCCGCAGCTTTGTGCTCACAAGAGCAGAGTGGGACTGCCGGGCGTCTTTTGGAGGGCTCTCGTTCCAAGGGCTGCCTTAAGTCGGAGGTGCCTTTGCCACCCTGACGGCATGCAGAGAAAATCAGCTGCCTGCTCCTTATCACGATGCGTGACCTGGCCCTCTGCTTCCCCATTTGCGTGGGGTCTGTGAATGGGGCCAGGGACTGCCCGTTCCGCAGATGCGCCACTTTGGTGGACCACCATGGCCTCCTGTTGGGGACACTTCAACCTCCAACCTCCGTGACGCTTGTTCACGGGAGCCAAGTAGGTGCCAAACGCTGCGTGGGAAGAGCTTGGTGATGAGCTGGGCAGAGGGAAGACACGATTCCTTGCGCTGCACTTCCCCTAACCTGCAGGATGTTGCTCAGAAGGTGCAAATCCTGCCCTGGCCCCTTTCCTCTCTTTGGGAAGCACGAGTGCAGGATCCTGCCCTTTCTCCCTCCATCCGCAGTGGCTTTCCAGGCCTGTTTCCTGTCCCGTCAGTAGGGATTGCACCCGGAGCCTTCCAGATCCCAAGGAGGTGCCTGCCACTGAACAAGCAGGCAGCTCCTGTTTGTGGGAGCAGAAATGGCCTGAGTTTGCAGCCACAGAGTAGAGGCCGCACTCGTACTTCTGAAAAGTCCCCCATGAGGCAAGGACAGCGGCTTCAGTCGTGGGACCAAGTGCAGAGCTTCCAGGACGTGGTGCAGGAGTGAACGTCTCTGCTCATATTCAGGGCTAGTTTTAGACGCACGCCTGCTCCGTTGTGCCGCATTTCACCTGGAGGGCCGTGCTAATGAATTGTTTTCGCTCACGCAGGGTCGGATTTGCAGGTGTGCATCCCCAAAGGCCCGACTTGCTGCTCCAGGAAGATGGAGGAGAAGTACCACGCCATGGCCAGGTCCGACATGGAGCGGCTGCTGCAGTCCGCCAGCGCGGAGCTGAAGTTCCTCATCATGCAGAATGCGGCTATCTTCCAAGGTAGGTGGCTGAGTGGAAAACCCGGGTTCCAGTTCCTGCTTTACTGTTGGAATCGCGCCTGAATACCTGGGCCGGTATTGCCTGCAGTAGGGTACCCTAGTGCCCCTCTGATGTTTTGGACCGCAGTTCCCATCAGCCCCTGGCCAGCATAGTCAATAGTAATGGATTATGGGCACAGAGGTGCAAAACATCTTAGGTTTACAGTTGCTCTTAAGCCGGTCCCCGAGGCTTTGGCAACGTGGCTTTTCTGCTGGATGACTTTGACTTCCTACTTCTCGGCCTAATGTGACCTCGCAGGGGTGTTGTGAAAATAGGTGGGGTGACATATACGACTCGTTTAGATCGGCATTGCCTTGCCGCCTCTGGTGCTTCCTGCCCTCATACCTCCCCCAAATAGTTCCCGCACTGGTCGGCTGCCTCTTTTGGGGCATCCTTCCATCGGAGCGGCAGCATTCCTCACTTTGGCCATAATCCCGTATGTAAAGCACCCCCAGCCCCTTCAGAACTCGTTTCAGTATTTTCCGTCTGACATCTGAAGGGGCTGCTTGAGTGACAGATCGACTCTCGTCCAATGTTGTTCTGCACTAAATTTAATTTTCTTTCTGCTGAAATTGCATCAGCCTCTTTGCTGATAAAGATCAGGGGGAATCGCCTGGCATTTACCAAGATCTCATCCAGGCGTGCTTGTTACTGTGCTCACTTAGCAAAGTTTATTAGCTTATTAGAGTTGTAGGCCCTTGGGCTCTTCCATTATTGCAGGGGAAAAATACCATGGAAATAAGGACGGGGGGAAAGTTGCAGTAGAATATTTCATTCTCTGCCCGCCATAGAGGATTTCTAGGAGTGCGCGTTCGCCTCGTCAAGGCGGCAAGGTCTTCGCTGCCTCATCTGGGACCACCATGCCTGCCTCCTCCTGAGCATGCTAAGTGCATGGTCATGCTCACACAGGAAGGGTCCTTCCCCAGTCCCTTCAGCCCAGAATTGTCAGCACAGGCCGGCAGGAGTGTCTTTCTAGGCACAAACCTGCCCAGGCTTTTCTGGAGATGATGCTGGGGAGTGAGCCTGGGGCCTTCGGGATGTGAACTGCAGCCCTTCTCTTGGTTTGGCCAGACAGAAAACCAAGCGTCTGGCGCTTGCGAAGAAACGCGTTTCTCAGAATTTCATCAGCATCTTCACGCACGCAAGGCAACTGTTAGAAAAGGCAGGAGTGAAGTTCTCATGGACCATGAATGGTGCTAAGATGCTTTAAGTGTTATTCTCCAGAGAGGTAGCGTGTTAATCGGTTAGCGCAAAAACAACACAGAACCTCATGGCACCTTAAAGACTGGCGGGTTTATTATGCGCTGTTGCTCACACAATTGTCAGCATTAGCCTCCTGTGTGTCGCCTCCTGCCTGCTGCCCTTGCTGCTTCGAGCCCCCTCTGCCACCCCGGGCTCCGAGCGGGCGCTGTTTTGCTTTTTAAACTCAGACGACAGGAAACTGCTCTGAGATGAAACACATTTACTTGGAAATAAGCACCATTTTGTTGCAGGAAAAGGATGATTGAACTTTCAAGTAAAAATGATAAATTGAGCAGCTGTAATTCTGCGTCTGCTGGACCAGCTGCCCTCAGGCACTACATAAATACATAACTTTATGCCAGACCATGAACTGATGCTGATTATTTTTGGCAATGCCCTGATCGTGTGTCACTTTCTGGGTGGGCCTGTGGATGAGGGACTCTGGACCCTGAGCTCCCGGCCTGGCTGCACCACAGGCCGATCGCATCAGAACAGACTGGCTTGGTGCCTTTTTCCCCTGCTGTTGCAGCCAGACACCTGCGAGTGGTCATTCCGGGTTCGTTCATCCACTCTCCAGTCCCAGTGACTTCTCAGACAGGGCGAGAGGTGGCCTTCATCTTTGCTTTTTGACACTTATGTGGCCTGCTCTCTCTCCTCCGCTGGGGAAGAAGTGCCAGCCTCGAGATGGCAAGCTTCAGTCCGCTTCCCTTTAATCGATTTAGAGACACCTCAGCCACAAATATGAGCTGGCCAGTTCCAGTCTCAGAGTCAGCTAAAAGTGGGGTTGAATTATTTATTTTGTTGTGATGAAAATGCTGCATTTTATTGGGTTTCCTTAGAAGAACTTGATTGTGTTGGAAGTCTGCAAGATAAAAGATCCATGTTCTGTCTCCCAAAATATTTCCTTCTTTAAGAAAGAGAGACAACCTTATCGCTCCTTCTTTTCTTCCTAAGAGCAGCAGCTAATGGGGCCATGAAGGGGAAAACAACTGACCTGATGAAACAACCCACAGTTCAGGAGCTAAATCACCAGTATCCCTGGGTTGTTCTCTGGAACTCTGGGCTCCTTCATATAACCCAGGTTAGACCCAAAGGACACACTCTGGCTTATAACACTGTGTTGTTCCTCTCCCAGCATCCTAGATTTCTGGGTTTGGAAACCATGGAGAACAACCTGGGCTTATCCAGTGCTCGAGGAGAAGTGGGCGAGCGGCAGGCAACCTGCATGCTGGCTGGCTGGCTCTCAAACAACCCATGGTTAACCAATTGTTTCCTTGTCCAAGCTGGGCCACTGAGTTGCTGGTGCTTGTTCTTGGTCCCTGGGCTTGAGGCGTGGGCATGTCATGGCCTCCTCCAAAACACTGATCAGCACCAGTGGCACCAGTCTCTTCCCGCTGCCCAGTGATTTTTCTTACGCCTTTTTGGTTTCTAGAAGCTCTCTGGGGTGTTTAACTCTTGGTTTACGTTAGATTTTTATTTTCTGATAGGCTTGACATTTCTACTGCCAGTGAACTTCTCTGGTACCTCTCCAGGCTTAACTAGCATCCCTTGCCTTGAAACTCTTTTTCCTTGCAAGGGTGAGGATGGAGGAAGGGTTGGCTGTGTCCCGCTAGGAGCCGAGCAGGACTTTCTGGCTGCAATTCCAAAGGTCTGGAGAAGTGGTCGTGGTAAGAGAGCAGTCTTCAGAATGCAGGTCGGTAGCTGAACTCCTGCGCTCGATCTCTCCCCGCTTGGGATTGGAAGCGCTTCCTCAGCAATTTGCCAGATCCATCAAGGAGAAAGCAAGGCTGTGAGGCAGGCGCCCTCCCACTCCAAATGCAGCCCATCTGGTGCACGATGGCAAAAATAAGAGCATGTGTCCGTGCCTTTGCCTGGACTCTCTTTCAAGCAGAGGTTTTGCCAGGGGTGCGCCTGTTTTGCCTTCCGATCGCATATGTCAATCTGACACGTGCTCTTGCGCATTCCTTCATTTTAGCACAGCCGTGATTTCTCAGGGAGAAATGCCAAGATCTTCATTTAGGAAAACAAAATCAAATGCACAGGAGTAAGACGTGGGTGGAGATTCCTGACTGGGCATAATACGTGGGAAAAGGTTCATGCTGTTGTCACAAGCTGAACGAGTCAGGAAGGTGACGTGGTTCCAAAAAGCAGGAAATGCAACTTTGGGTTGCCGCAACAGAGAAACCGTTTCCCCGTCATGGGGGAGCCATTCTACTCTTCCCAGTGATCCTGTGTCCAGGTCTGGGCACCAAGCTTTAAGCAGCATTCGGATAACTTGGAATAAGTGTGGAGAAGAGCAGCAGAGGTGACCAGAGGAGGAGAAACGGAGTCCGCGAGGAAAGCACTGGGTTTGTTTATCCGTAGGAAGAGAAGACTGACGGTGGGGCGGAGCAGCATGCGAGCTTTTTCCAAGGACCTTCAGAAGAGAGTTGTCACCTCTTCGCTGTCTGTCAAGGCTCTGTTGACACCAAATAATGGGCTTCATTTACAGGCAGGCAGCTTGGGAACACCAGGACAAACTTCTTAGCCATCTGAGCAGTCAGAGTTGGGAAGCATCTTCCAGGGAGGAGGCAGTCTCTTGGTTGCAGAGGCATCCACACGATGGCTGGGCAGCCTTCTGTCGGATGTTTCAGTTGCAACAAGCAGCGTGGTGGACTTAGGACTTTTGCTGCAAGCTTTACTGGGCTCCTCTGAGCAGGGCGCAGAGCCAAACGGTCGATCTGGATGTTGTAAAGTTGGGGCGAAGGGTGCATCTGCAAGGCAGGAGCAGAGCCGGAAGCCCGGCCAAGAGGAATCCTGAAGGAGCTTCGCCCAGCGTCAGGCTCCTGCTTCGCATGCAGACACTTCCTGCTTGATTCCTGTCATCTCCCAGCTGGAGTGAGAAAGGGGCCCTGCCCGAACCCTGCAGGGCTCCTGGGCACTGGCCATGCTGGGTGGAGGGCACAATGGGAGAGCCTGCGCACCTTGTTCGTGCAGGAGTGGGCTGGGCTGTGTGACTCTTCCGTGTGCCACCAGGAGGCCCCCTGGTTGGTCTCCCCAAAGCTGCTCCTTTCCTTTCCTTAGCCTGTGATGCACAGGCTCTGTTACTGCCTGGCGCTCCCCAGCTCTCCAGTCCAAGACACTCCAGCTTGGAGGTTTGCCATGGCAGGGCATTGAGGTGTCCCACGATTTTCCTGGGGCCATGGAGGTGTCCCATGCCCTCAATTTTCAGGGGGCATTAGGCACCCTCCCACTAGAAGACAACCCCCACCTTACCCCAAGAAACAGGCGTTTGGAATTGGATGCATGCTGGTCCTGGGGACGGGCATTTGCCCTTTGCCAGCCATGGGGAGGCGCACGGAGAGTGCTTGGGAAGGCTGGTGCTGAAGGACCGGAAGGTCTGGAATGTGGCTTGGGGGGCAGGGTGGGTCAGACCCTCTGCAGCTGTGTGGCTTGTAGGGCCCCAGGCATCTGCCCACTTTCCCCACTGTGCCACTGATCAGCCCTCAGCTGGGGCAGGGACCAGGCCGCTGTTTCCTAGCTGCTAAGAACCGCCTTCTGGCTTGGTGCAGTCCGATGGGAAACTGCACACCAGGAGAACCGTGCCTGGTTCTGTCTATATTGCATTGCACAATTGTTCTTAGATTAGGAATAACATTTGTGTAGCATGCTGGTTTCCACAACTCTGTTCCGTATACGGGGGCATGCGGTGAATTTTGCACACAGCTGAGGGTTGAACG